TCCCTCCCTCCCCCCTCCCTCCCCCCCTTCCTTCCCTCCTTCAGCTTTTCTTCTTCATCCTCTTTTTTTTCCAGAAGTCATCAGTGTCTTGATTCTTTGCAAAATTCTCATTAAACATTGATTTTAAATTGAGTATGTATACAAAGTAAATAAAATAAAATCCCAACTCCAGTCTCACCCCCTAGATTTACAACAGTAGTCAGTACCTTGATATAATTGACTTATATTTTTTATTTTCTCAACTTTACATTGTATTTGTTAATTCCCAGTTTGACATTTATTGTACTCACATCACCTCCTCCCCCTGTGTCATATTCCATCTCTAAGTTTGGTTAGTTTTTATTTTTATATTTTATAGGTTTATAACATTTAAATTCTCTTTAATAACTATGATTCACTTTCTCTGCCTTATCTATAATTGAGTAAAAGATTTAAACTCAATAGAAACAAACTTCATGGCATTGGGATTCTGAAATTTAACCAGTACTTAATTAAGTCTGGACCTTTTTTCATTTGTCCTGCTGAACATTTGGTGGGCTCTTTCAGTGTTTTTCTTTGGTTCAGGGAAAATAATTCTCTTATTATCTGTCTCTGCTTTTAGAACTCCTTTTTGAGGCATTCTGTTTCGTTCCTTCATGTTAACTTTTCTCTCATTTTTAATTCTTGTCTTTTCCCCGTTTTTGTTTTCTGGATTACCAGTTTGAGCTCTATTCATTTTGTTATTCATCTACTGTATTTTTATATTGGCTATTATATTTTGGTTTCTAGAACCTCTTCATTTTGTATTTACTTTATTTTTATTTTTATTTATAAATAGTAGCAGTTGTTGCTTGATGGATACAGTTTGCCTACCTGTCTTTCTGAGGATACCAGTTATAATGTTTTTAAAGTTGTCTTCTGTTCTTGAATTTTCCTGGGATTGTCTTTTTTCCTGCTATTGGATTTTCTCAATTTTGATGCTCCTTAGGTGTTGGGCCATATTTATCAAAAGACTTGACTGACTGAAGTTGGCAGCTGGCCTGGGTTTCCCCTATGGTTGTGTAGGGCTCTTTCCTTAATAGCCTATCCCTGGATGAGAGACTGACTGTGAGTTTTGTGTAAAGGTAATGCATGTTGATTGTCAGGCCTTGCTTTAGGTGGGTGTGGGTGAAGAGCATGCCACGTCTGCCTTGCCTTATTGTGAATGAAGAGGAAGATTTTGGTGATTTCCCTCTTGGGCAGAGCTATCTTTCCTCTCTTTTCCTTCTTCTGTCTGTTGGGGATAGAGTGGCCTCAAGTTCTACCCTTCTTTTTCAGATCCCTGTACCTACACAAGATGTTCTCCCCAGAGAACCATCCTTAGGTTTGATCCTGAGGGCAAGAGCTGCTGCTTTGGATATTGGAGAAGGCCTACTGGCCTCACCATTCCAAATGCTGTTTGTTAATTGATTATCTGATTCTTGTTCCTTGTCCCACCACTGGTCTTCATGTTGGTTGACTCCCACCTTAAAATTTTGCAGGGACCTCCTTGGGAAGATCACTGTTACCTCAGATATTTAGGGCTGGGGCTTGCTTTGCTTTGTTTTCTCGACCTGATCCCACCTGCTTTCTGTCTTTCAGGATTTCCTCAAACTTTTGGTCTGTTCTGGGTATTTTTTGTTTTTTTTCTTTACTTTTTTCTAGTTTTCTTACCATTTTATTCTTTTGAAAATATCCTTCTGTCCTTTCAATGAAACTCTGGAAGGGAAGGGGAGGGAGGTAGATATGTTGTGTGTATGGCCAGTACTCCATCTTCAATTCCCCAGCTATCTCTTCACATTGAGCTATTTCCTATGGGTACAGAAATGAACTTTCTGAGAGGTCTTACACGTGGGAAAATCCTTAAATTCAGTCTTGATTCAAAACTGTAGAGAAAACAAAGATGGTCAGACCGTTCATGCTCAATGAATATAGGATCTGATTCTGATAGAGCAGCTACTACAGCCCCAGGCCCAGACTAGAAGTAATCCTGTTACCTGGCCTTGGTCACTCTGGAGGCCTTTTGCCCTGGGTCTCATGTGACATAAGGCCCTGGTCATGTATCTTGGCTCTTTTCTTGTCTCTGCTCTAACCTTGGCATAAAGTCTCCTCTCCGACAGCCTTTCCTTCAGCTCTGTGCCAGGAGCTCCAGTGTTGTTTGAATCTCGTAGACGGCACTAGTTTGGGTTTGGGTTTTAGCTGCCAAATGGAATTGCTATTGAAAGTCAAGTATGGTGCAAGTTTGCTTTTTATTTTCTTAGACATGAGTCAAAGAGAATAGGATCTATTCCCAGCTCATCTGGGACTTTTTTCTTTTGGAATGCTCTTTTTGCCCTAGTGATTTGTTATTTTAAAGTTAACATCATAAAGAATAGAGAAGTTAAACTTTCCTTGGTGGGGCTGAGAACCCTGTGCCCTGACTCTTCACTAGTCTCATAAAGGGGGTGACACGTCTTTAGAGAATGCATTTGGCAGGCTATATAAGAGTCTCTCTCTCCCTCCCACCTCTCCCTGGGCTGAATCCCTTGAGGCCCCCTGCGTGGATCAAAGTACTTGGCAGGCCTTTTTGCCTTCCTCTCCCACTCTGTGAGGCTTTGGAATGAATCTGATTCTTTTAGGTATTTAATGGAGGTGCCAGACAGAAGCCTGGGAAGATGCCAGCAGGCACGAGGAGAGCTGGCAACATGTGGACATAATGGGAAAGTATTCCCATTTCACCCCAAAACTGAAATTTTATTACCTTTTACCCATACCTACAAACTGTGTGGTTAATTCTCTCTCTTCTTACACAGAAGGCCTAACCATCCCTTCTTTCCATACCTGGATCCTTTCCCATGGAATATGTGACCCATTAGCCAACTGGATGAAGTAACTCTTTCCAAGGCTGCTGCCTGCTTTCCTTTTAGATTTGAGGTGGGAGGGAGAGAGAGTGCTTAGTTGGAGGGTCTGCGAGCAGAATTAATGCAAGTGGACAAGGGACTTTGGCAGGTTAGTTAGGTGTGAGAGCCAAATGAAAATATCTTTCCCTGTCTTCCCACTGGAGTGAGAAGGCCTCTTATTAAAACTTCCCTATAATAGTTATAACCCTTTGGAAAATATCCGCAAATAGCAACTTTTACCATTATGAGAACAGGATAAAGGACAGAAAAAGCATTTCTTTTATGTAATACTGAAGAGAGAAGTTTGGACTTCTGCAGATGGAAGTATCTCGGTTGGCTAACATGATCTCTTAATGATGTGCTCTTTAACTCTAGAAATACAGCATAAAGGAACAAAGCTCTGTTTGGCCCAGCTCTTTCAGTAACCATGACTGAATACCAAATTTTCCCAATTTAGTATACTCAAATTGAACAGGGGAAAGACCTGGTCTTTTCTGATTGGGGTATGAATTTGATTATGGAAGTCAAATTTGGCATACTTGTCTCACATTATCCATGGTAAAGATAGTATTAATATACTCCCTGAGTGCTCGCTTCAGCAGCACGTATGTTAAAATTGGAACAATACGGACGAGATTAGCATGGCCCCTGTGCAAGGATGGCATGCAAATTCATGAAGTATTCTGTATTTAAAAAAAAAAGATAAATAAATAATGTATATTCCCTGAGATTTTGAAGTACCAGGAGAGTGTTAGTTCATTCTATTCACTCGTATACTTAAGGCATATAATTCTGTACTCTTTTGTTTCTCTTTGTTTACATGTTTTTATCTTATGTTGTTTCTGTTTTTCTCATTGTTCAACAAATATTTAGAGAGTGCCTGCTATGTGCCAGGTGCTGTCACTCCTTAATACCTTTTGAGAAATTCTCCTAATTATTACGTATCTCCTAATTCTTATATATTTTCCCTGTAACTCAGTGCACTGCTCTGAGTAGAATGGCATGTGGAATGCAGTGATGAATGCTGTTGAATTGTGGAACTTAGTAGTTAGAACCACATAGGTACTGTTGAGTTTGCAGTGATAACAATAAGTGATATTTCTTGAGCATTTAATATGTGCCTACCATTGTGCCTTCCAAATATAATCTCATTTAATCTTTTTTTTTTTTTTGTCTTTTGTCTTTTTTCCGTGTCCAGCAACGGATTGCAACCCTCAGTGTTGCCCCCGCACCGGACCGGGGACCGGCAATGGGATCGCAAGCCTCGGTGCTGCTCCCGTGCCTCGCTCAGCCAGTGAGCGGGAGCCGGTCTGTATGTGGGATCCGAACCCTCGGACGGGAGCGCCGCCGCGCTTCCCAAGCGGCGCACCATCCAGTGCGCCACCGGGCCGGCCCTCATTTAATCTTTATAAGAACCTTACAAGGTAGTTATTATTATTTCCTAGTAAGTGGTAGAGTTAAAGTTGTAACTCGGGTCTAGCTGATTCCGGAGTATAAACTCTTAACCACTATACTATTCTACTTTACAATAACTTAACAAATGCCATAAGCTTTAATCTTAAAGTATGTTTTCAACTTTCCCAGTAATTTATTTTCCTGCTTTAGCATACTTTAGAAGGCAATTTGAGCTTGGAATTGAATAAATTTAAAGTGAGTTAATTGGGGATAGAAGAAAAGGAAACAGGGTTTAAGATATCAAAAAGCTTTTAGTAATTGCTGTTTGGTGTACAACAGTATACAAAGAAACTATACACAAGCCATTTTTTTTCTGTGAGCTCACAATTTAATCCCAAATGCAGATAGAAATGAGAGGTAAAGATAATAGAACAAGTATTAAAGTTCCCTAAATAATCTAAGGGTTTATGTTATGCATAACTCAAAGGATAAATGTGTACAGTGAGGAAGAGAAGAGAGGACATGGGCATGGGCATTAAATGTGTCATGGAGTGAAGACCACTACACATGTATTCTCTGGTATGGAGGAAAGTTGGGTGGTAATGTATCTGTTGTAGCCTATAGGTGTTACTCAGCAGGAGAGAGTTGCGATTGTTCAACCTTAGATTTGGGACACAGCCTGTAGTTTACTGCTTTTTGCAATGATTGCATCAATTCTAACTCACTAAGCTGACTCAAGATGGAGATGGTACTTGTGAGAAACTGATCAAGAAATGTAAGGGAGTCGGGAAGTGGTATGGGTGTTAGAGTCCATTAGGAGTGAATCAGTACTGAAGTCATCATGTCCATATTATGCATAGAGATGGGTTGTGAAAGCCGTGTTCTGACTTTGAAATAGCAATGGTGGGAAATGAGAGGGGAATCTTGTTATCCTGACTCTGGAGTTGCTCATCGTGGTTGTGTATAATGTTATGGGTCACAAAATTATCCTTGTTTTATGAACAACTATAGTATTTGGGGTAGGAAATGCATTATTACAAAGACAGACTTTTGAATTTGGAAGACAGTTGTTTTGGGTCAGCATATTGGGGAGAGTTAAACTTCTGAGGCAGACTGCCTGGGTTTCAGTGCTGCTCGACTGCTTATTAGCTGTACTTTGAGCTGGTCCCTAATGCTCTCTGATTCTTTTCTCATCTGTAAAATACAGATGGTAATACGTATTTGAAATGAAATGAAATAATACTTGTGACACACTTGGAACCACACTTGGCATATAATAAGCATTCAGTACATTTATTAAATTTAATTATTTCTCTGATGTTGATAGTTATTTCTGTTGCTACTGTAGCTTTTATCATTATTATTATCATTGCCATTTCCCTTTTGGAGACTTTTTGTACTACATGGATTGAGGTAACTCTCGGCTGATTTCTCTGTTTTAGAAAGAAACAATTTCCACTTTCTATTCAGATACTGTATTTCTATTTCAGATACTGTATTTTAATCTTACTATTTCCTTAATCTAGAATCCACAATAACTTCCTGCTTTCCACCATGTTAAATCTAAACTTGTCTTGCCAGGGGTTCAAATCTTTTCCCTCCTTGTTGTCTTACATGCCTTTCCTTATTTTCTAGTTCAGTCTTTTAGCCCCAGGTCCGTGAATCTGTCTACCCTCCTTTCTACTGGACTTTGTGCATGCCATCTTCCAGTGATGGCCTCCTTTCATCTCCACCACGTACTTGTAGCTTTCAACTCTCACTTCTGCACCTGCTCTTCCAGGACAGGCCTTCCCTGTGTTCTCTCACCTGACTGGTCTGCACTTCTACTTTATAACCTGGCATCTTGTATTTGCAAATATGCTGCTTTGTGTTCTTTTAAATCATGTATTTTGCTGTTCCTCTACCTAAATAGTAAATTCTTTACAGATAGTAACTACTAAATCTTCAGTTCTGTGAAGGCAGAGATTATATCTATTTTTTTTATTGAAACATAATTGGTAATGCATATTTGTAGGGTACAGAGTTGACTATCAATACTTGTGTACTATATGTGATGATCAAATCAGGATAGTTAGCATATTCATCATCATTATAATACATAATCATTCTTTGTGTCCATTAACCAAATTCTGTTTTCTTTGTCACTGTATCCCCAGTGCCTTTAGTATTCAACAATACCATTTATTGTACAAACAACTTTTTTTTTCATTGAGGAGATCTTTGAAAGATCTAGTTCAGTCTTTCAAGTAGATTGAAAGACTACCAAAGACTAGTTGCTTAGCAAGTGCCCTTAAGTGAATCAATCAAACACCCATCTCATTTTACAGAGGAAATGCTAGGATCCATTGTGGATTTGTAAATTCTCTAAACTTAATGAAAGCCTTCATTTAAGAATAGTGGTGGTATTTTTAAATTTCCATCATGCTTTACATTTGGGAGAAAGAAGGTGTTTATTTTTTTAAGTAGCTCTTATTTTCTTGGCATGCAATACTTAATATCATAGATGTAAGTCTATAAAGCTGTTTAGGCTGGATTTATTATGAGAGAGGTGCTGTGTAAACTTACTACCCCCACCCCCTTGTAATTAGATAACCAAGGTGTTTATGGAAGTGTATGTTATTTGGCCAACTGAATACATGGGTACCTTGGAGCAAAACTTTTCCTAGAATTTTAGTTTTCCACATTGTCATTTTTTAAAAGGTTAAGAACTTTGCTCCCTTATTGTAAATTAGAATTCCTTTGTATTTTACTCTTTTATTCTTTCTCTTTACTCAACAGCCAAACCAAATTTCCCTGGAAGAGAACATCCTGGTCTCCCGTTACATTAACAACCCCCTGCTCATAGATGGTGAGTTGTGATTAGGCCCTTGGCTAGATTGGGCTAGATCTTAAACTTTTTGAACTTTTTCTATTCTTCTCTAGTAAGTCTAGTGTGAAATTCTTGGCACATTGGCTCCAGAGATGAGGCTGGTTCCTTACCTACCTCAAGGGATTATTTTAAAGATGAAATGAGGTAATATAAGGGAAAGTGCTCTATAATTATACAGTAATCAATAAATAATGAAAACTGTACTATATATAATTGTACTGTATATGCACTACACATATATATGTACATTATAGTATAGTGTACTATATATACACGTATAGTACAATTGTATAGTACAATTATTATTTATCTGCAAAAGGCAAGATGTGTGGTAAGTGTATATTTCATGTGGAGAGGAGTGTTCTTTCTTTCATATTTCTTGATTATGTTGTCCTGTTCATTTTGTAACAGAAAACAAATGAACATAGTTTTTTTCTGTGAATCCAAACTTTTTTTCTAGATTTCAAGTTTGACGTGCGCCTCTATGTGCTCGTGACTTCCTATGATCCTCTTGTCATCTATCTCTATGAAGAAGGATTGGCGAGGTAAGAGACATTGTTTTTTGGGTGGAAGGGTGAGGTGGGTATATTAGAATGGATGCATTGAAGAGTTTATTAAGATCAGGCTACCTTTTTTTTTTTATTATGTTCAACTCAGGAAATTAGAATGTAACCAGATGGACTTCAGATTACAGAAATCAGTCTTATTACTCTACAGCCTCACTTGTATATCCATACATAATTTTGTGTAAACACACACCAGCAGGTATCCAGAATCACATGGTATTTTCATGCAATGACAATTGTTATGAATGAAGACCCTAGGGTATTAAGATAACTTGCCATTGTTCTTCAGAATAGATCTAGAAAGAAAAATAAAATCCCACATTTATTTACCTGTTATGTATCAGGCACTTATTTTAATCCTCACAACACCCTTAGAGTTGATGCATTTTTGTAATTGAGGAAATCGAGACAGAGAGGTGAGGGAACTTTAAGTCACTTTTCTGGATCTCACCAGCTGGTTGATAGTGGAGTGAAGATTTGAAATCATGGACCGGACTCCAGAGCTCAAGGCCCATACTGTTTCTTGCTCTCCCTTGTATTTAGGGAGTATTAGCCGATTTCTTTTTCCTTTTTGTTAACATGCAAGTTATATGCTTTATAGTCGTTGTATATATATTGTTTTCTATTTCTTGAGGTGCATTTTAGGTTTTGAGGTAATGTGACTTACAAAATTAAGTACAAGTTATAATAATTTGAATTTTTGTTTCCCATATTCACAGAATTCTATAGGTGACAGTGTTTTTATAAACCCTTTAAATTGTTTAAAATAAGTACATAGTTATACTATGTTTGTGTTCTTTCCCCCACTGTTTTGCCCTGAAGTTCTTTTTATGCATGATAGCTTTGATGTTACAGAGCACAGCACTTTAGGGAGGTGGTTTGCATCTGTGAGAAGTCATGACGAGCTAGAAAGGCATGGTCTGTATGATTCTATATTTTAGAGAATGCACTTTGAAGTTGGGAAATACCATGGATAAAAGAAGGCTACTTATTTATGTATGGGTACTTTAATTCATATTATTGTACTCTAACAACTATTATTTTGGAATGGTATTTTTTTTTTTTCAAAAGATGACCGGTAAGGGGATCTTAACCCTCGACTTGTTGTCAGCACCACGCTCAGCCAGTGAGCGAACCGGCCATCCCTATATGGGATCCGAACCCCCTCGACTTGTTGTCAGCACCACACTCAGCCAGTGAGCGAACCGGCCATCCCTATATGGGATCCGAACCCGGGGCCTTGGTGTTATCAGCACCACACTCTCCCGAGTGAGCCACGGGCCGGCCCTTGGAATGGTGTTTTAATTATTTCATATGCTTAATTCCTGTGACTTAAGTCAGAGTGAGAGTGGACTAACTAAAGCTTCTTACTGGTTGAGCTCTATCCTCCTTTAACCTCTAGGTGGCAGTGACAGCATTTATAAGCCCTGTCATATTCTTAATTAAGATTTATGAGTTTGAGCCCTGGGAACACTGGAGGCTCCTGAAACTCCCTGGTTCTGGCCTCTTCTTCCTTGAAAACTGAGAATGGGGAGAAGTAAAACATCTCTCAGTTATCGGATAAAGGACTGGACCAGGCATCTGAGCATGAACAGACTACTAGTTCTAATCAGGTTTTCATAGAAAAGAAGTTTTCTTTTTTTTTTTTTTTTTGCTTTTTGTCTTTTTCCGTGTCCGGCAACGGATCGCAACCCTCAGTGTCGCCCCCGTACTGGACCGGGACCGGCAACGGGATCGCAACCCTCGGTGTTGCTCCTGCGCCTCGCTCAGCCAGAGAACGGGAACCGGTCTGTATGTGGGGTCCGAACCCTTGGCGGGAGCACCGCCGCACTTCCCAAGCGGCACACTATAGCAGTGCGCCACCGGGCCGGCCCAGAAAAGAAGTTTTCTATAGTGTTTGTAGACACATGTGCTCTTACACTTTGAAGAACAGATATACAAGACTAGGCATAAAACCTAGTCCCTATATTATCTAGAACAAAAAGAGGTAAAATATGCTCCTGACTTCTGCTCAGGTATGCAAGGTGCTGAGGATTTTTGCTGAAGAGTTTTGTAATTTGAGACTTCTGAGCTTTCCCTCTTCTGTAGCATGAGCTTTCTCCATTCTCCTTCCTCCACTCATCCTCACCCCAGCTTGCTTGCTAAGTCTTGCTTGGGCACTGATCATGTCCTGCCACAAACTGAACTTCTGGAATAGAGAAATGATATCAAGGTTTGCCCACCATTTCTCAAGAATATCATACCAGTATGTTTTGAGTAATATTCCAAAGATATTTTACCCACACTATTAATAGCCCTCTCTATGGACAAAATTTGGCATTGTTTAAGACCTTCGTGGTTCAGAGCACAAAATGAGAGTAGTAGCAATATTTATTATAGAATTTACTACAGATATGCAAGTGCTTTTGGCTACTGGTTGTGTGTTGAAAGTCAGAATCCATTAAATTGAGTAACTCTGTTCTCTTGCTTTTAGCAGGAATTGGGGGAAAAAACCCGTGTGTGTGTGTGTGTGTGTGTGTGTGTGTGTAAACACATACACATATATATACATATATCACTGGGGGAAAAAACCCGTGTGTGTGTGTGTGTGTGTGTGTGTGTGTGTGTGTGTGTAAACACATACACATATATATACATATATCAGTGGATGCTTTTTCTCAGAATAATTAGAAAAACAGCTTTTTAAAAACTCAGACCAGATTGAACCAAAAACAACTCCGAACTTTCAGAGCTTTGGTTAGGTTTATCTAAAAGTATAGGTGAATATAAAAGCTTTATAAAAGGATGGTATGTCGCAATATGGTGGGCCTTTCACCAGAGTCCTGCGAGGGTACATTGTGCAGGGATTTCCATGTGCCTAATCCTGTGTCTTCCCTCACTGTATATCTTAGCATTCACCTGCTTTTTTAATCCTCAGGGTCTGCTCAACTGTCATTACATTCAACAACAGTCTGTAGCATCTCCAGATCTGCCATTTCTAGTAGTCTTGGGTCACATGTGTTTTATGTAAACATAACTGAAGATAATCAGTTTGGGATGAGATCACTAGGTCATTTTACTTTGAGGAAAACCATAATCTTCCCTAAAGAGATGGAATTGGAGGCAAATATAATTAGTTTCCTTCTTTAGGAAGGAAGGCTCTTATACCATATCATGTCTGTTTGGGGCCTCAAGTTAATGCTAAGTGACAGAAAGATTAAGTTTATTTCATAAGACAGTTTTGTAAAATGAGTTATTTTGTGTAAATTCTTTATTTTCTTAAATTTACTAAAGAAAAAGGACCTAATTTCTTTATAGATTAGTGTTTTCAGTTCTTGTTGTTTTATTAACATAGGAAGTAGAACTCTTACTATTTTCTTATATGTGGGTAAAATATTGCAGAGGTATTAAAATGAAATTGTCTGTCTGGTATTTGGGTCCAGCGTTTTGTGATTTTTGTGGTAGTTCCCAGAAGTCCATGCTGATTTTGAATTTCACCTGCATGTTGCCGGTTTACACCAGCAGGGGCCACTCACCTTCTAGAGAGGGTGCTGTTCTCTACCAAAATGGTGAAGATTCTTTTCCCTGTCAGAGGTGCAATCCAGAAAGACTTTGTCCTGGATTTTGCAGCTTTAGGTGGATCCAATATTGGGTTTAAATGATTTGACAAAGCCCTTTTGATTCAAGGCTAATAGTCAAATTTTCACTGAAACAAGAAAAATAAAAAGTTTTTAAAAATTGAGTTGAAAACCAAATGTGTTGTCAGAGACTTAAAGATAGGTAGCACTAGAAACTTGCGGGACATGAAAGTGCCCATCCTGGGAACTGAGAGAGTTCCACCCACGCTGTGGATGTGGGAGGAGAGGACGCTGAGAAGGTCCCAGTCGGGACTGTCTTTTTTCCACCTCAGCCATATTAGGGGAAATTCAGAAAAGACCCCACCCCCAGTTCCTTCTTCAGTAGCCTTCCTTGCTAATTAACACTGGCTCCGCAGGGATATTTACCTTTTCTCTGCTGGATTCCTGTGGTTTTGAAAGAATTCAGGTACTTGCTGGTTGCCAAGGAATTCAGATTACCTCACAGGCTGCACACTGTCCAGAATCTGCCACAGCAGCAAGTGGAGGAAAGAGATACCAACAAGGGGGAGAAAACCCTCTCCAGTGCTCATTGTCACCCTCTTTGGCAGGCCCTTGCTGTTTGTGAAGTTTGAGTCATTTCTGGCTCTGAAGACAGGGGATCAGGCTGGTAATCCCCTCCCAGACGGCTCCGTAGGGCGCTGCCTAGTCACTGCCGCATTTTGGCAGTCTCCTGGCTGCAGCTGGTTGACAGCAGATCAGAGAGCTCTTGGGCCTCTTGTTCTCTTCCATAAGATTTTTCTGGGTCAGGCCAGGATGAAACCCAGTGGCTCCTGGCAAGGCTGCCTGAGGTGCTGTCTCTTCATTATCCAGGCTTCTCTGGCTCGGAATGGCTATACCTGCTGAAAGATAACTCATGTGCCACAACCAGGCTCTCTTCAGGGTTGGCCTCCTGTTTGTACATTTGTAATGAATGTTTGTTAGAAAATGTAACAACCAAAGAGGGGTTGAACTATCCTACATCTAGCTGTCTGTGACTCTGCTCATAGGAATATATGTCATTATAGTCTTAAAAGGACAGAATAGTGTTTGAATAGGGGAAGAGATCCCACTAACTCTCTCTGCTTTCCTTTCCGTTTTGGTTCCACATTGGTAAAGATCTTGCAACAAGCAACTCAGGTGCAGTTTCAGTTAATGCTTATCTAGTACCTACCATATGCCTAACATTGAAATTTTTTCTTCACATCGATACTTGAGTTTTATACAAATTATTACCATTGTTTTAATTTTCAGTGAGAAACATGAGAAAGCAAGAAGTGTAGCTTCTGATTTAAGAATTTATTGTCAGAATAAAGACAATCCGTATTTGTTCTTCAGTAGGCTGTGAAATAGTACCCAGGGTTTCAGATTTAGCAAAAAGAAAGTAAGAGCCCTGAAAGTAAGAAAGCAAGGCCATGACATTCTGTCATGAGAACTTTCCTAAATCTTAATTTCTTTAAGGAGAAGGTTCAAGACTCAATTCATGTTGTAAATTTCAGCCTGTGTTAGGATAAGTATTTGAAAAGTTAGTCCTGGGGTGTCTAATAAAGAGTTATGTCTAGGGCCAGCCCGTGGCTCACTTGGGCAAGCGTGATGCTGACAACACCAAGTCAAGGGTTAAGATCCCCTTACTGGTCATCTTTAAAAAAAAAAAAAATAAAAGAGTTACGTCTTTTAGGTTGTTGTTAGTAAAGAAATTGTGTGGAAGCTGGCTGGTTAACTCAGTTGGTTATAGTGCGGTGTTAATAATACCAAGGTCAAGGGTTTGGATTACCATATTGGCCAGCCACCAAAAAAAAAAAAAAGAAGAAAAAAAATTTTTTGTTGAAGCTTTCAGACCTAAATAAGATGAAATTTAATAGTGTGTGATGGTCTAAATCAAAAGTCACAAACCTAAATGCTCATAAATACATTCGCTGGAGGAAGACGGCCCTGTGGAGACTAGGGAATGGGAGAGTACATGTCCCACCAAAAGGTATTTTATTATTCATTGCCAGTAAGTCATTGATATTAGTATTGCCCAATCTTCTGGTTTTTTTAGGAGAGACTGAACATCTAGATTTTTATTGTAAGACTTACCAATTTTTTTAAACTTTTAATTTTGAAACCATTTTGAACTTACAGAAAAGCTGTGAGGATAGTATGAAGAACTGCCTTATACCCTATGTCTAGAGACCCCATTCACATTTTACCATTTGTCTTAATAATGTTATTTATAAAAAAAGGATCCAATCAAGGATCATGTTATACTTAGTTGTCATGTCCCTTTAGTCTCCTTCAGTCTGGAACAGTTCCTCAGTCTTTACTTGACTGTCATGACATCAGTATTTTTGAAGATTACAAGCCAGGCATTTTGTAGGACGACCCTCAATTTGGGTTTGTCTGATATTTTCTCATGATTAGACCCAGGTTATGCATTTTGGGCCAGAATACCACAGAATTGTTGCTAGTTCTGTTCATTGCATTATATCTGATGGTACCTAACTATTTAGTGGTGTTTAACCACTTGATTAAGGTGGTGTCTATAACGATTCCTCCACCTTAAAGTTACTTTGTCTTTTCCCTTTGTAACTAATAAGTATTTTATGAGGAGATACTTTGAAACCATGTAAAATATCATTCTTCATCTCATTTTCACCCAATAATTTTAACGTCTATTGATGTTTCTTGCCTGAATGAATTATTGCCATAATGGTTGCCAAATGATGGTTTTTTTTTTTTTTTTTTCCTTTTTGTCTTTTTTACTGACCGGTAACGGGATCGCAACCCTCGGTGTCGCGCCCGCACCGGGGACCAGCAACGGGATCGCAACCCTCGGTGTTGTGCCCGCACCACACTCAGCCAGTGAGCGGGAATCAGTCTCCACATGGGATCTGAACCCTCGGCAGGAGCGCTGCCGCGCTCCCAAGCAGCGCACTCTCCAGTGCGCCACCGGGCCGGCCCCAAATGATGGTTTTTTTAATTCCATCATTCCTTTTTACTTTTATTATTTGGCACTTTACTCCCAGGAAGAGCTTTCTCCTCTTCCTGTTTATTTATTCATTCATTTATTTATACCAATGTGGACTCAAGGATTTTTATTATTTAATGGGTCACAATCCTTTACTATCATAATTTATTCTGATGTTCAAATTGTTCCAGATTTGGCCAATGGGAACCTCTTTAGCTGGCTTTTGTGTCCTTTTGACATGTCCCCATTATTCTTTAAGCACAAGATATTTCAGGCTCATCTTGTTCTTTCTCTGACCTAGCCCTGGAATCAACCATTTCTCCAAGGAGCACTGGTTGTTTTTTTAACAGAGAATAGAATTTAGAAATTAAGATCTGGGTGCTTGATATGCTCATTGCTCTGGGGCATCTCTGCTCTCAGATCCCTGTAATGGAAAGACCTAGGAAGTGTATGTATGTGTATCCATACATATATACATATACACATTTGCATCTATATTCATTAATGTATCTATCTCTATGTATTGAGAAGTGGGAGTTCTTTCTAGTAACTCCAATTCTAGTTCATAACTACAGGGTTCATTTAAGCTTTTTTCCTTTCCATATTTTTATCTCCCTTCTCCAACTGTGAGAAATCTGGCTCCCATTATCTTCAATATGTTTATTTATTTACTCAGTTCCCTCGTATGTAGTCAATCTCCACCCCATTCAGTTGCCCTTCTTGCATGGAGTTAGACCCCTTATGGGGCTACCTCCCTTTTTAGATAACCTCCTTGTACTCCCTCTGGGCTGCCTTCACACCCATCCACCATTTTCCTCACATGGGCCCTGGCTGCCACTGGGCTACAAAAAGGAAGGTCTGATTTTTAAACGTTCGTTAAGTAATTCAAGTATAAAAAAGCAAAAACTTTTGTAGGTTAATCAGAACTTGACTAGTAGGCCAGATCTGAGAGTAGGATGACCTCAGGCCTAGACAATAAGAAGAAAATGGTGATTAGGGATGAATATGGTCTGTTTAGTATGGATTTTAGTGAGAGTCATAGATCTTAATGGGTCAGGAGGAAATATAAGCGCAGAACACCATTTTTGCCCTTCAGGGAAAATTTTCTGTTAAGCTTAAGGGTTTGTTTATTTGTTTTTTTGGGTTTTTCCCTCTTTGATTCTTACTTGTTACTGCTTCTTATACTCTGCAGAATCCTACTCTGTGACCTTAGTAATCTTGTCCTTGCTGGAGCTCAGAATAAAATGCCCTAGTGAAAAGGAAGATTAGGGAGAAGAAAAGTGATTATTTTAAAGGTACTGCCCTCTTGAAAAAAGGGATGTAGTAAGGGCAAATGTGTTGGGTACCAGATTCCAGCTCACCACAGGCTTTTGCCAGGCTTTTCATGTTGACCAAGTTAGATCAGGTAATTGTAGTCAGGAGAGATGAAAAGGGTCTTTCTCTGAAGCAGAACCTTTCCCCTCCCTCTAACTCATTATTCTTTTGGGGGAGAGGATGGCAGGAGGTATGTCACTGTGAGGTAATGTCTGGCTGAGGCAGGCAGCTTCTGTGGGGCCAGCATGGGCCCCCTTTGCATTCATAAGAATTCAGAGAATGATGGTCTTTCACTTGCTTGGAGAATATAGGAGGAAGATTGGGATGCATAGGCAAGGTTTACTCACCATGGAGTGACATGGCTAGAGGCTAGATAACTACTGGAAGTTTCTGGAAAATCTGAGGTGCTTCTCAAGCATAAACGTAATTAATGCTCATCAAACTCTTGTCCTTTAGCCCTACATGCCTGGTCAACATTATCTCTTTGTCTATATCCTTTTTCCTGGCCTCATGTTTGTTTATTTTAGTTTTTTGGGTTTCGGTTTTTTTCTTCACTTTTCTTTCTGGGTCTTGTGTATTTCTGGTACAGGGAATTAGGGAGTGGCGATAGTGGGTGGGTGAGAAGAAATAGAGAAGAGGAAAATTTTTAAATGCTGACCTTTAATGTGGTAAAACTTCATGTTGACTTCATAGTCTGGGTAAACATATGTAAATAATTTGTAAATCATATGAAAATAAACTTGTGGCCTTCCAGTTTTTTTTTCACACACTTGGATATGCCTCTTGGGAAATGTCCCCCCCACCCTTTACTGAAGGGTGATATGGTTATAGTGGTATGTAAACAGGGCTTGATATTTACCATAACCATTCGCCTTGAGTGTCCTTTTGTTGATATTGAGCATCACTGGAAAGTTTTCTCTTTCTCTGGTTACTTCCTTCACAGGCACATATATTTTATACTTTGGTCTTCTTTTGGCAATAGTCCAGGATATCAAATTGCTGCCCTGTTTTCTGTGGTCTCCCTGTTGAATCCCTTCTGTCTTTTGCCTTCATTTCAAAGTCAGGAATTAATTTCTTGCCCTATGTCCATATTTATGCTCTTCTGCTTTGTCTTTTGTTAATGCTACCATTATTGTTCTTTAAAAATAAATATTATAGATCAGTTCTATTCTTTCCATGGTTGTGAGTTCTAAGTCTATGTATTGCTATGCTGTCCTTTTTTTCTTTTTGCTTAATTTTTTTTTTCATAGAATGCTGTACTACCAGGCACTGTGTGGGCACTCAGTAGGTGTTTCTTGATCAGGTAATGCCCCAACATCCACAGCATCCTATACACAATTTCCCAGGTTATGAATAACTGTATTTTCAATTTTTGTTCTTCCTATTGGTGTAAGGTTCTATATGAGAAATCTCGTAGTGGTAAGACCAAGGGTTTTGGAGTCCATTTAATCTTGGGCAAGTTTCTTAATCCTTCTAGGCCACATTCGGTTTTCACATCTATTTTAAAAATTAGATGTAATATGACCTTCATAGGGTTGCTTTAAGGATTGAATTAAATGTGATATATATAAAACACTTAGTATGGGAATTGGCACTTAGGAGGCACTCAATATTTTTTAGATAACGATCTTGCCCTCCTATATTATTGATATCTTATTGATCCTCAGCTCTAGCCTATATTTCCTTGAAACTGTTTTTGGCATTTAACCTGTGTCTGTCTTACCAGGTTTGCAACTGTGCGATATGATCAAGGAGCCAAGAACATTCGAAACCAGTTCATGCACCTGACAAACTACAGCGTGAATAAGAAGAGTGGAGATTATGTCAGGTACTGGCTATGTTTGAGGGAGAAGTCTGAGAAGTCAGTCTCAGGTGGGGGCGTTGTACAGATGGAAATTTAACATGTTGCACTGGAGAGCAACTTCACCTTTATGTCTGTGTAACATTTATGGAAAGCTGTCAGAGTCATGTAACATAGTTTTGAGGCATCTCTGTTGCTCCTTCTCTGTTCCTTACCTAGTTAACAGTGTCACCTTTCTCTACTAGAATGTACCTTCACAAGTTTTGTCTTCCTCATTATCTTCCCTAACTTGACTTAGAGGGTGGAATTGATTAGGCATATAGAACTTTTTAGAAGTCAAGAAATGAGGTTATTTCAGCACTTGGCAAAACATACTAAAAGCTTTAAAAATATTTGTACTCTTTGATGCAGGAGTTTCATTTCTAGGAATTTAACCTTAAGAAATAAAGGATATACATACAGGATCAGACATAAGAATGCTCATTACTGTATGTAATACTGAATGTTCGTTACTATATTATGTTAGGTAGAAAAAGCAGGTTACCAGACAGTACGTGCAACTTACCTTCTTGCTTGAACATATAAGATATCTAAAGCTGTCTGTTTTTGCTGGGGGTTGTGGGTGTGTGACCAGAAGAGTATATATACCAAGATGTTAACCATACTTAACTATAGCAGGTGGGATCGTGTATGGGTGATTTTTATTTTCTTCTCTGTGCTTTTATGTATTTTTTAAATTTTTCTAAAATAAATGCAAGTGTACTTCAAAAAGTTCATGGAAAAATAGAATTGAAAGATAATACCAATCTTTCCATGAGCTTTTTGAAGTACCCTGGTACTTTATATGATCAGGAGAAAAAAAAGTTAGGAAAAAATTAAAGAAAGAAATGAGGCCATCTCAGAAAGGGATTCAGTGGAAGGGAGTACCAGCCCAACTGTGTGGAAATATTCTTTTTGCTCTGTTTTCTTTCATCCCGGTAATTTTGCCAGAAAGTGGAAAAATAGAAAAGAAACCCAAACAGTTACTTTCTACTCAGACTAAAAATAGGTGCCTAGCAGGTCCAAGGAAAGAAAGGAAGGAAGGAATCTGGAAGTGATGGAATAGTTGCTAAAGCTGTATAGGTTTCATTGAGTGTCCTGTGACCAGTGTTTGAATTGGTTGAGGATACCATACCCTACACTTTGGAAGATGAGCACAGGTGGAGGATAGGATGGTGGTAGGGAATGAGGGGGCAGCTCCAAAATCCAAGTTCCAGACTGCAAGACTCCTCCAACATTCGTGGGAGCCTACCACATTTGCCATTCTGCTGCTATAACAGTGCTTCACTTCAGCACTCGTAATGTTGCTCTGATGCATTCTCCCTTCAGTGATGCCTCAGAAGGTATCCAAAAATCATCGTCTACCACCAGAGGAGGGGGGAGATGCCATTGCTTCAGATGCCAAAGCAATTCTATGTGGTGAGCTCACTAAAACCCTACATTAGATTAATTTACAAGCCCATCTTAACTCAGTTCTGCTTCAAAAATGGCATCAGATGTTGTTTGGTGGACTCATGTGACATTTACCTTAAAAGCTAGGTCTGTGTCCCCAAACATTTCAATCTGTTAATTTATTGTAACCATTCTTAAATTTGTTTACATTTTTTTACACATTTCTTCCACTCTTTCATGATGCATAATTGTTTGGTTAAGGAAGAATTTGCCTTCTTCTCCCCTACCCTCTTCAATAAGGCAAACTATGTGCATTTTTATTTCCTTTGAAGAAATTGGTACAAAAGGATACATGACAGAAAGGGCCAAGAAAAGAGTGGGGGAGTGGAAGTCAGCAAAATGAATATTTTTCTAACAATTCGTAAGACAAGAAGCCTGTTTGTAAAGAATCCTGTCTCTGTAGTCAGGCCTAGTTGTGTATGTGACCTTGATTTATTAATTTGTTTCAGTTGTGATGATCCAGAAGTAGAAGATTATGGGAACAAGTGGAGCATGAGTGCTATGCTTAGGTACCTGAAACAAGAAGGCAGAGATACAACTGGTAAGTACCAGGCTTTTTTCCTTCTTGACTTTTCTTCTTCGTATACCTTTACCATTGTCTCTTGCCAGGAGTCATTCTCTAACTCTGATAATGTTGCCGAGATGTCCAGTGGGATGATGGTTTTCAGTGCTACTTTTTCCTGCAGTTTACAAGATAGGGAACAGGCTTTCTATGATATCAAACCCCTTTTCTTGTTTCTAGTTTGGAAGACCTCACTTTTTCTTGTAATCCTTAGTGAATTTATCCTCTTTGAATGTTGAACTGCTAACCAAGATACTGTCAACTTTTTATATAACAAATTGCCTGTCTCCATATTGGTCCTGAGTTCAAATTTTCCTGAGTTAATCTCTCTTTCATGTTGGTGAGTTGGAGAATGGGCAGAGTGGAGTTTGAGTACCGGGCTTAGAATCAAAATGGTCAGTATTGCTGAGACTTGAGCAGAATGGGAAACTGTACCAAAAGGGACTATCCCAGTCCATAAGGGTGAGGAGGGAAGTAAAGCTCCTATTCCATTCTGTGTCTGTTTTTTGTTATAGGAAGTCACCTGAGTGCATTCGCTGACATCTTTGTCCTTGACCATGTTGACCTATTCATGAATATGCCTGCCCCTGTAGCCCCATTCAGAAAACTGCCATATGGAAGCTTTTTGAGTGAACACACATGATTTTATAATTATATTGTGATCTGGAATCCAACCCTCCTAATCCATGCATTTTAATATTTCTTCATTTAAAAAATTTTTTTGCAGCATTGATGGCCCATGTAGAAGACCTTATCATTAAGACTATAATCTCTGCTGAACTAGCTATTGCTACAGCCTGTAAAACCTTCGTTCCTCATCGCAGCAGTTGTTTTGGTAAGGAGAAACTTAACCTGTTTTGTGAAGAGGGTGTTGGGAAGTTGGGATAGGTTTCTAGGGTATGGAGGCCTAATGATTCTATGGGAGTAAAGGATATATGATGAACTTTTATTTCTTTCTGAGCTCATGTAGCATATGAAGAGCCTACTAAGAGGCCAGTGGTGAGCTTAGTTGAAAGTTCCCTGAGAAGTAACTAGCTGTAGTAGACCAAATGTCCCCCCCAAACTCACTGAAGCTTGAATTGTGTCCCCCAAGTTTTATGTATTAGAAACTTGGTCCCCACTGTGACTGTTAAGAGGGTGAGAAATTCTATTATGGTAATGGAAAGGTGGAGCCTTGAAGAAGTGGTTAGATTGTAGGACCATGCTGTAGTGAATGGATTAATAATGGTGGGTGGGGGCGTGGTCCTGGGGGCTTTAAAAAGAGAGTGAATGAGGAGGTTACTCTAGGCTCTCTCTGCTCTGCCATTTTTGCAATGTGATACTCTGCCATCACCAGCTGTGTTCCCTGGACTTTGGACTTCCCAGCCTCAGAAACTGTAAGCAATAAATTTCATTTTCTTTATAAATCACCCAGTTCCATGTATTTTTTTTTTTTATAAGCAACAGAAATGGACTAATACACTAGCTTTTTGTGTGGGAAGTAGGGATTGTAACTAAAGCATAGGTCTCCCTGTCAGAGTGCAATCAGAAAGAGTCTGCAACAGACTGTATAGGAATCCAGCTCTAACAAATATATTCCAGAGCTCTTTGGCAGCCAGACTGGGAACTGTTCCAAGAAGCTCTGGCTGGTACCAGTATGTGCTTTCTCCCATTTTCCAATGACCCCTCCTTTTTGTTTTAGTCTTCTTTCTAGTGGGTTCCACCCCCTCCTTCCCTTTCTCCCCTTCTCTTTTTTCTCCTCTTTCTCCTCCCCTCTTCTTCTATTTCACCCCCAACTCCCTCATTTCACAGAGAATAATAATAAGTAGATCACAACTACTGGATCAGGAAACTTGTTATCTACTGACCCACTAGCTGTGACTGTAGCACTGAGGATGCCTGTCTACATTTGCTTTCTACGTGGACGTGAACTTGTTAGTGATTGACAGTGTGAATGTCTGTAAAGTCACATAGACTTTCAGCAGGTATTAGTTAGTAAAACACACTGGAGTCATTGATGGGGAAGATGATTAAAGCATGGCATGGAGTAATACAAGTAGTAAGGATGTAAGAGTTATGGCTTACTTAGGAGGCAGGATATCAGGAAAATAAAGAACTTGGGCTTTAGAGCCTGACAGTTTTAGTTTGAAATCCATTTGCACCCCTTACTTGTTTTGTGATTTTCCAGTAAGTCACTCTAATCATATTATAGTTTCCCTATTATAATATGGCAGTAATGATGGTGTCTACCTCCTAAAAGTACCAAGAAGATGAAATGAGGTGATACATGGAAAGCACTTGGCACAATGTCTGGCCCTTAAGTTGTACCCCCAAAAAAGGATTTTTTATAATTTTTTTTTTTCCTTTTTGTCTTTTTTACTGACCGGTAACGGGATCGCAACCCTCAGTGTTGTGCCTGTACTGGGGACCAGCAACGGGATCGCAACCCTCGGTGTTGCGCCCGCACTGCGCTCAGCCAGTGAGTGGGAACCGGTCTCCACGTGGGATCCGAACCCTCGGCGGGAGCGCCTCAGCGGGAGCGCCGCCGCGCTCCCAAGCAGCGCACTCTCCAGTGCGCCACTGGGCCGGCCCTATAATTTTTATAATTAGACATTATGATTCTTGATCTCTTTATTGGATTAACATAACAGTCTGTACTTGAGGGGCACTAAACAAAGGGAATTGTTGAGACTTTGAATACTAGATAGTAGATAAATTAGAATCTAAAATTGTATGGGAAAAGAAAAAGTTGTGATATCTTTTAAAAATGCATATCTGTTTATGTCTTCTAAAACCCTTAAAGGGCTCCCTAGGCTTAAATAGTATAGTAGAAACTTGTTAAGACCTTCAAAGCTCCTAAAGATCTGATCCCAGCTGACTTTTTTAGAATCCCATTTCCCCTCTTATACCTTATAATCCAGCTGTACCATGCTATACTTGGCACTCCAAGCTTTTGTGCCTCTGTTTTAAGTTCTCCTCTCTAGCTACAAAACTCTCCTCCTATCTGCCTTTTATGCTCCCGTTTCTTCTCTAAGACTCAGCTCCATGTTGTCTCTTCTAGGAAGTCTTGCCTAACAAAATGCCCTCTTGTGTCTCCCCCTCTGCTCTTCTGTACTTGTTTTATTATATTCTTTTCCTCTCACATTGTGAGAGGGAATTTTTTTTACACAGTTACTTCCCCAGTAGTCTACAAGCTTATCTTCTTGAATTCTTAATAGTCACTTTGTCCCCACTTCCCTTCTTAACCGTATTTTTGCCAAACCAAACTTTTCACTATTTCCCTGTACCTTCCAGGTCCTTTTCTAACCCTTTGCCTTTATACCTGCTTTATCCTGTTTCTGAAATACCTTTCTTATGTTACTTTTCCTAATAGGTTACTGACATCTTTTAAGACAGAGTTAAGCATCATTCTTTTGGTCATGTTTTTCCTAACTCTCCCAGTCTGAGCTAGCCTCCCCCACCAACATACCCCCAGCACTCTGTTCATAACTCTGCAGTAGTACCTGCATGTCCTCTGGTATCCATTTATGTGTCTGTCTTCCCCACTGGACTAGAAGCTCCTTGAGGACAGTAACAATGTCTCTGTTGGTTTTGCCCCTCCTATCAGGGCAGCATCTTTTGCTCTTAGAGTTTGTTGAGTGAACAGTCAGTACTTGCTTTAGTTACCTTTTGGCGGCCTGACAGTAGGCTTGCCAATGGAGCTGGTTTGCTAAAGGCCTAGAGCTCTGAAAATTATTGCACACTGTTTGAGAATGGGATGGGGGGACTAAGAACATAACTCCAACTTCCAAAACCTTATTAGATTAAAATAATACAAGTTTCTTTTCTGTATATATTTGGCTCTTTATATGCGGGCAAATTTCTTATAGCCCTTGGTGTAAAAATCTTTGTTTTAAATATTTAATCATAAAAGCTTTTCAGAATATTTTCTTTTCTATTTTTATTGCCTGATCGCCTTTTGGAAGCTTAGTAATTTATTGAACTTAACGGCAATGGAATGTTCCAATGTGAAAGAAGCAGCGACTTTCTCTGACTCAGTGACCCTAAGTCCATTTCGTCAGCCATGGGTCTTCTTTCCCCCTCCCTACTTGTGTTCAGTTTTAATAAACTGAGTGCATCTGAAGTTTTTTAAGTTGTTGACTGTCTTCTTGGCTTTTGTGGTTCTAATTCCACTTCCTCTCAGCCCTGGGGTTTTGTGTGCTTCATTAATCTCCCGCCATCAGATATGATTTTGTATATGTGTGTATATTTGTGAGTCTCTTTGCCTCCCACTGACTCCTGGCCTTCCCTGGGGTTTAAGTTACAAGGAATAAGCTGGGGAAGTTGTTGTTTTTTGTTTGTTTGTTTCATTTGTTTTAGAGTAAACAGGAATTGAGAACTTCCCAGAAGACTTTGGCTTAAACATAGCATTGGTGCTTTTAAGGGAAGCCAGTAGTCCAGAGATGGGGTTCATTATATTCTTTTGGTTGTTGTTTCTGCCCTTCCATCTTGTGGATCTCTGCCAGCAGCATAACATTACCATTTAAGTGTTTCCGTCCTGTAATTTCTTTCCTTCTCTGCCACCTGTAATGACCAAGTTACCTTCAGTATTCTCATTCATTTATTTATGCATCTAACTTTTTTCAGTTCTTGCTATGTGCAGGTCGTAGGTTAGTCTTTCAGCAGTGCATTGCCATGAACAGTTTGTTCCTCTCAAACCAAATTTCACATGGGATTTGTATACATATATCTGCATTGTATTATTAGTGTTTCCATGTAGACTTGGGAAACTTCACAGACTACCTGAATCATAGCCATTTAATGCTTTTTCATAGATTTGTACATCTGCAAAGGACCTTAGTGAATAATTAGTCCAGATGTAGAAATTGACCCTGAGAAATTAACCCTTGCACCAGGTTCTAGAGTTAGTAAGTGAAAGAAGTCAGATGAAAAAGACTCAGCTTGGAGAGATGGGGCTTCAGAAGATGGGTTTTGGCAGTCAAATCATCTTGATCACAGGACTATTGATTTCTAGAATTTTTGACACCTCCCCCAATAAAACCAATTTTTGACAACCTAATTTTTACTGCCTTCCAAGATTGTGAAAATGTGGTGCCATGTGAAATAATGTGCTTAACCAGCAATCCTTTAAATATGCTTAGGAAATTGGCACTGTGAGATAACTATGAGAACAGCTTTTCTGACCAGTCAAAGAAAAACAGCCAAAAACAACAGGATGTTAGCTGTCCTTTAAAGATGCTGCTGCTGACGGTGGTTTTATCTATGTGGAGGATGGCTGAAGTGATGGACTATGTCTCTAGTCCTGTCCAGCCTGGAATCGTGTGGATCAGCCACAGGGCCACTTGTAGAACTGATCATTCTGGCCTTGTTTTGATCAGACTAGTGATATATTTGCTAAGGATGAACCATGCCTAGTACACCTCTCTTTGTTGAGTGATATCTGGCTTGGCCTTCTATTGCTGCCATTCTTGACCATTTCACAGGGGAAGCTGATGTTTCTAAAAAAAAGGGTGTCCATAAATAATTATTGAAGGAATGGAAGTGGGCAACATATATTCTCCAATAATATAAGCTGCTTGACCAGCAGCCAAAAAATAGTGAAAGTTATCAGACTGCTCACTTTTTGAGATAATCTCCTTTCCTGGTTTATCTCATCCTTAGCTGGGAAGGGAAGTTTACTGTAGAAGGAATTTATGGAGGAAGTACCTACTGTTTGTCAAGCAAACACTGGTTATTTCCTTTATTTAGTTTAGTTTCATTGGCTATTTCCTTTAATCCTCAACAATTTTGTTGGTATTTATTTACCCATGTTTTATAGACAAGGAAAAAAGACCCAGAAAGGTTAAATAAATTGTC